GTGAGTTATTATTTATTAACTCATTTTTTTACAGGATTCGTATCTTATTCACGAACCAGCAAGCCATGGTGGATAGGAAACAGTAGATGTTGATCTCGCTTCCTCAGTTAGGAAGATGGCCGAATCTGTACTTATTTATGTTTTGACCATCTAGATTTTAAACATTTGGCTGGTGCCTGCAACATTTTAGGAGAATGTGGAAAAGTAGAACACCTGTGAAATGTAAATGTGATTACTGCTCAGTGCTCACTGTCCAGTCTTTAAAAACACATTTCAGTAATTCAAGTTCTTTTTGTCCTCGCCTTTTTGCTGAATGTGTTAGTTTTTTTGTAGGCAATACCGCTTTGATTACAGGTGATATTTTAACAGTTATAGACTGAAATTGAGTTTCAAAATTTTGGGTATTTGTGGGGCCAACTCAGCCAAAATCAGCCTGCTGGTATTTGTGGTTGGACAATGGATGGCTGCTGGGTGGGGCAGGTACTGCATGCCAAAATGTGGCATCTCTTGTAGGGGTAAGCTAGAATCAAGAATGCAGGTTTTTTAGTATGCCGGTAATTTGGCGGTTTTTTTTGCTTGGGGCGTGGTAGCATGCCGGTATCCCAGAAAATTTTTGTGGGGCGGGGCGGTGCCGGTAGCAGCCTTTGGGGAAAACTTTGCAACTCTAGTCGCAATGGGTTGGATCATATTGGTCAGGGCTATCATGGGCCGATGACGTCATTCCTGCTCATCAGCTGCCTACAACATCGGCCTATGGCACAGTATTACGGTGTCACCCCCCTGACCACACCCCTCTGGCTAATGTATTTGAATAGGCCAGGCATACAGTAAAACATGTGAAATGATGTTGGTCCCATGCATTATGATGGGTTTCAGGCAGGGCTGCGGAGTCGATGGATTTTCGGCGACTCCGACTCCGACTCCGATTCCGGCTTTCAAAAACCAGCTCCGACTCCGACTCCGGGCAGAATTGTCGACTCCGACCGACTCCAACTCCCGACTCCGACTCCGCAGACCTAGCAGGGCTGCGGAGTCGACAGATTTTCGGTAACTCCGACTCCGACTCCGGCTCGGGTTTCTAAAATCGACTCCGACTCCGACTCCGACTCCGCAGCCCTGGTTTCAGGGTCACCTGAAGGTCAGGTTCTCTACTAGAAATTGCAATCCCGGAACGTTTTGCCAATCCCGGGACCCCGAAAGTTTTTATTTCGGGATCCCGGCCTTGTCACTAAAGGTCGTAAAAATGATTTCCTACCGGCATATTTTGCGTCTTTTAGCTTACCACAAACAAAGAGGCAACCAAAAGCCATCCTTAGACTATGTCATTTGCATTAAAAACGATTGAATTTGCGAAGAAAACGTTTCGATTTGATTAGCATTAGCATTTAATCCCAATTGGCCTTTATAAAACTGTGCGTCGACCAGTGCGTTTACTATCTCGTCATTAAGACGGGTTCCAGCACATCCACGCCTCACTCACTCTTCGTCTACGCTACTCGTAGTTAGCGCGACAGTTTTAAGCCATTGCTGGTAGGTCTGTCTATCTTAAAACTCGCAACCAGTGTACACCAAATTTGGCAGCTCCCTATTTCACAATATTTTCAAGACGTCGCTTGGTCACTTCACCTCCTTCCGGTTCCGCTTTCATCACTAATGTCTCTCAGACTTTGCTCCAAAGTCGCTTTGAGGGCAGACTCACTGACTGGGAGAGCTCCACTCTACCGTCTTCAACGTCTGTATCAGTGAGCTCTGCCGTCACTTGCGTGACATCTGTGACATCTTTCTGCGACACGAGCTCCAATACTGTCTTGATGACCTCTTTTGTTCCGGCCACGAACGGACAAGTCAGAATCGCTGAACGATCCGTGATCCTGATAAAGATGTTGCAGCACTGATGCTGCAATTGTTGGCGTTCGGGACCCTTTTTCGTACGCCTTTAAGCGGCTTAACCGCTGTCGGTGATACCCGGGAGGCGGGAGCTACCAACACGGTCGATTGTGGACGGCCAATACGGACGGCCAGCTAAATAGTTTCTCTGCTAAATGTCACGCAGCACCATGAACAGTATAAACAAGACTCGTGCAGCGGCTGCATTCTTTTTATAGTGAAAAACTGATTTCTCGGGATCCCGGGATTGGCGGAATTTCGGGATCGGGATCGGGATTAAAATCCCGCCGAGATCCCGGGATCCCGATCCCGGGAATGCAATCTCTGAGCAGTAATCGCCACGCACTTTTAGAATGTGGATCGCTCATGATTGTTCAATACAATACAATACAATAGGTCATGTCAATGACCTATGATGACCTGAATTCCCAATTTCGAGTTTTACATGAGTCTAGGCTAGTTTTTTTTTTTAGCTGATTTCGAATTTAACAGGTCCTGTGCCCCAGTCTGTGCTGCAGCAGTCTATATTGTGGCCCAGTCTGTGCTGCAGCCTGCAGCAGCCTGTACTGTGTCCCAGTCTATGCTGCAGCAGTCTGTACTGTGCCCCAGTCTTGTGCTGCAGCAGTCTGTACTGTGCCCAGAGGTGATCTCGGGGGGGGGGTCGGGGGGGGGGGGGGGGTCAGGACCCCCTGAAAACGAATTACTGCTATGTAAGTCAAAGGTACTGCATCCAGCCCGCCTCCATCTGCCCGGCCTGGACCCCCCCCCCCTGAAATTTTGACAGATCTCCACCCCTGACTGTGCCCCCATCTGTGCTGTGCCCCAGTCTGTGCTGCAGCAGTCTGTGCTGTGCACCAGTCTGTGCTGTGGCAGTCTGTACTGTGCCCCAGTCTGTGCAGCAGCAAAGCTCATCAGCAGAGTTGCTGATTGTACCTATTCATAACAAGGATGGCATGGCCCTATTCACAACAAGGATGGCATGGTTGTAGGTAGGGATCGTGAGGTTGTTGATTGCATCAGTTTATCATGGCTGTTAGCCTGTTATATAGTGTTGTTTAGATCATTCAGAACACATTCTTAATTCCAGAAAAGATTAAGCCAGGTTGAAATTAAAGTTAAGAACGATGCTCAAGACTGAAATGTTAACATAGAACATACATCCATTACATCCTAGGTCATGAGACATCCTAGGTCATGAGACACACACAGTGACCTCCCACGGCCACACCCCACAAATGTCACATGGAGCTAGCACTTGCCATCTTAGGGGAAGGTGGGGTAAGACGGACCAGCTAAGGTTTGAGGCCGCATATCTTGCTACACTGCTCTCATAATTCATATTATTTATAGTCTTCGGAATGCCCAATCCTTCCTCTGTTGATATGTGTAAAGACTGAATTTCAAATTAAAGACATCTAGGTGGTGGATGCTCTTAAAGAGGGACATGTCAAAAACTCAGACAAGAAAAAACGTGGGGCAAGACGGACCACCCAGCAGTGCCTGCTATCCGTTCATGTGTGTTACACTTCTGCTCTGTACTCTTGTAAGAAAAAGTAACCAGAATGGTAAAATAACAAAATGAGCCTTTATTCTTTACTCATGTGTGATGGAAGTGCAGCTAAAAGCTGGGAACATGTGTGTTGATTGTCGTTTGGCATGAATGCATGCTAACTGAGCACTTGCATGCATGGCTCACATGCAACAAAGACTCATTCCTGAAAAATTAGCATAGGTACTTAAACTTGTGTCAATGATTTGGAAAAGAACTTTCCATATGCAGGGTACAATGGACCACCACAGGGTAAGATGGACCACAGTGGTCCGTCTTACCCCAAATCTAAATTCTGTCATTATCATGACGTTTATGTCAAATAGCCCAACATTGCAAAACCTTGCCTTTCCTAAAGTGTGACTATGACTAAGTTTATAACTTTGTTCTTCACAGTTAAGTGCAAAATAGAAACTAATCATGCAAGAAAGGCGCCATAATTGAATCACCCTTAGACCTCTTATATTAGATTTTGACGAAAAACAACATTTTTCTCAATAACTCAAAAGCTATGCATCCTAGCAGCATGAGCTCAAGGTGGCCATTGTTACGAAGGAAAACAAACATAGTGAGTGCATAAAGCAGTAGATACCAGCAGCGGTTCAGCCGGGAGGGCTGGTGGTCCGTCTTGCCCCGCTGGGCCGTCTTACCCCACCTTCCCCTATATCTTTGGACTGTGAGATGTCCCTTAAACTGCCAAAGCACCATCAATTTGCCGCAACCCTAATGGTGACATTGACCTGAGCCCACTGTTACAGCTCAAAAAGCCAAACTGGTGTGGAGTGGGGAGGGATCAAGCGCACGCAACTCAGTATAACTTGACACCCATAGTAATTTCATTACATTCGACAGATCAAATCCTAGTACACGTAACAGTTTACCTTGAGAAAAAAATGTAGAAATCCACCTTTTCATGTTACACTGGTGCAAAAAAATACAAAGACAGACAGATGACATGAACAAAAAACAAACAAATGACATGAACCAACCTATCTGGTAGACATAATCCTGATGGAAGTTGAAGATGGAAAATGTTTTCAGCCGATATGATGTAGCTCAAGAGAATTATCAAACTAGGAAGCAATTTCAAAGCGCCAAAAAGAATCAGAAATAATCTTATAAACGATAAAAATATGAAAAATAAGACAATAACGTCTATAACTATCACTTTTCCTTAGCGCTGTTCGGCAGCCGGCTATTTTGTGTGCAGGGTATGACGTATTTCGCGAGCCGACGTCACAGGCGGTGACGTCGGCTCGCGCGCGAGCCGAGCGCCAACGACAAACTAACGGGAACCCTCGGACACCCTCGGGGCATAAACCGCGGAGTAGCATATTGAGCGAGTCTTATAAGGAAAATTCATACATTTTCGTTTCTCAAATGATAATCAGGGTGTCTCTTACCTTTTTACATATCATTTAAGCTTACCTAACACTTAAGTTGCCAAATATCTGCAATTTATTCAAGCGAAGGTATTTTCGGTAAATATCAATGGTATAGACCTTATTATCAACCGGCGCCGCCGTGTAGCCACATTCGCCGCAGCACCCCAAAAGGGACGTACCTGGCCACTATTGGAGGCTGGCGAGCCCGCTACGATATCATACACGATCGGGGGCAGCTCGGAGCCAGAACCGCCGAGGATGGAGAACCCGAATCCGCCCTCCGGACCCCTTTTGAGCACGACGGACCGCACCTCTCCCGCCATCACGAGCACCGGCGCCACACTGATCAAGGACGACCGAATACAAATGTTGCCAATCGCAGACGGCCCTTGCAGATAAATGACGTCACTGGTGTTTTTTGTCTTGTGTGAGCTTCAATGGCATACCTAGTGCCCTGTGAACAGGCACGTATCCAGGATTTCGCTCAGGGAGGGGCGACAGCCGAGAAGGGCCCGGAGGTCAGCTCAAAGGGAAGGGGCCCCACGGCGACTGCCTATCCTGGTGTGAAAAAAAAAATCGAGAATGTCGAAAGAACGGTAATTTTACGATAAAATTCGGCATATTGTAAATGAAAATGCATTGTCTTGCGTTAGTCGACTTTGTTAAAATGTTTTCAGTTAATTTCAGTTGAAGATCGTTTTGGCAGTTCACTTCCCAGAGGTCGACAAAATCTCTGACCATCTGACCCTAGTCAGAGAAAAATATACGAGCGAAAAGCACCAAAAGAAGAAAATCACGGAAGACATTCTTAGATTAGCAAAGTCAACATTGTTTTGTTCAGATACATTCATGCACCTCTGTCATAGACTAGCAAGTAGCAACAGCACGAATAATAATTTAGTGATCAGTTTTCTTCCATTTCTCCACTTTCTCCCTAGTCAGAGCTGGTCTGATCCGGTCAGAAGCAGCTCTGTGCCTATTAGGTCTGTTTTCCTACCAGTTCATAACCAAATATCGCTCTTATTGGCAGTCGGAGAAAGTGGTGTTTTTGTCGAGCCCTTTGTTTTCTTCGGCTGCCAAATCTTGAGACTTGAGAGATAATAGTTGAGAATTATCAATAATAGTCGCTATTTCTGGCGATGTTTTTTGTTATATCTGAAGGATTCTCTTCAAATACGAAGAAAAGTCTCAAGAACGGGAAATTATATGAGTTGGAAGCAATTGAAAGCGCCATGTTTGGGCGGCCGGTGCGGCACGTTGTGCGTGTGCTGCCCGTGCGGGACGAGCGTGTCGCCATCTATTGAACTCTTCCAGCGCTTGCGTAATGCGTGCGTGGTGCGGCGGCGGCGGCGGCGGCGGCGGGCCCTGGGGTTCTGCGACACCTGAGCGAGCGTCATTTCAGCGAACGACATTTGAGCGAAGCCTTTTCAGCGATTATCAATTTAAGCGATTGACTTTTTCAGCGATTGTCTAGTCGGCGAATTCAATCACAGCGATTATCAACTTTAGCGAGGACCAGAATCAGCGAAACCAGATTGAGCGAATATATGGAGGTCAATGGGGGACCAATGGAGCGAACACAGTTACAGCGAAACCGAACGCGACGGAAGTCAATCATTTGCTACTTTTCGGGAATTCTTGCCCTTGGAATACCCGCTTGGTACGTGCCATGCTTCAAGCTGCGCGCGGCACATTAAAAATTTGCTTTTAAGCTTGGAAACCACAAAAATATCTGGCCTCATCCTGCAACTTTTATCTGGAAATGTGGAACGTGAGAGATAGGACGATGGAAGGAATGCCAAGGACCAATAATAAACTCGAGGGATGGCACAGGGCGATCCAGTCTATGTTTCAGGGACCTCACCCAAATATCTGGAAATTCGTACGTTGCTCGGGGCAAGAACAAATTTTACAACATGAGGAACTGATCCAAATTCAAGCGGGGGAATTTCGCGAAAAACAGCACAAGCAATACGAATCTCTGAACAAACGTTTGGTCATTATCATTGGCAAACAGCAGGGGGAAGGTGAAATCGAACCGCTGGAATTTTTGAGAAATATGGCATTAAATTTGGATCTTAATGCCTGAACTTTGAACGTGACATCCGCCATCCAGTTCCGGATAACCATGAAAAGTTCCGGAAACATTCGTTGTACGAACGCTTGCAAAAGAAAAAAATAAAATAAAAAATAAAAAATACACTTACGGGACGATGAAGTGTTTTGCTGAAATGGCAGTCGCTCAAACTGTAGTCGACGAAAAAGATGTCGCTGAAACATAGCTTTCGCTTAAGTTGATAATCGCTATATTTGATAATCGCTCTATTTGATATTCGCTAAGTTGCCAGTCGCTAAAAATGGTTCGCTCAAATGACGTTCGCTCAAATGACACTCGCTGAAGTCGCTCGCACCGGGGCCCTGGTGCGGCGTCAAGGCCCGTGCGGCGTTGGCGCGGTGTGTGGGGCTGGAGTGGGGCCATCGATGTCATATGCCCATAGGTGGCGGAACGGGGGGGGGGGAGCCGGGTTCCGTGGATCAGGCTAATGTGGATTACATTTGTATACTTGTTCCGACTCATGAGACTCCTGTCATTTGTGTATGACTGCCGTACACCCCTACCAGTGTTTTGGGTTGCGTTCTAGCGTGGTGGATAGGTATCCAAAATCATCATTTCTCACAATCTTCGAAGAAAAGGCTGGAGAAAATTGGCCGGTAGTCGGAGAAACTCCATGAAATTTGTCGACCTCTGTCACTTCCTTTGAAATTCGTTAACCCGCGCTGTGCTGGGGAGCCTTTTCACGTCCTCCCCCCCCCCCTCCCCCTCAGGTTTTTAGTGAATATGTCAAAATGGCGGCGCTGCGCGCCGCCATTGCGCCGCCATTTTTTCTACACCTGTTTATCCTTTTTCCGCACATGCTGTGCAGTGGCGGCGGAAGCAGGGGGGCAAGGGGGGCAGCTGCACCCTAAAGCTATGGAAAGGGGCGCCTCGAAAATCTGTAGAGGAGGCAGGAAGTTAAGAGGTGCGGCAGCCATAAAGCTGAGCAGTGCGAGGCGACACCGCAACTGATAAAGGCACTTGTGACACGAAGAGGGTGGCAATGACGTGGGAAAAGTATCTTTTGATATGCTGTCGTCGAAATGCTTCGACATTGTACCTCACCAGATTCTTTTGGACAAAATGAACACATACGGGATTGATACAGAATGGTTTCAGAACTACCTAGAGGGGCACACGCAGCAGGTTGTGATACGTCGCACTGACGGCGCAGTTCTCACATCGGCGTCCAAACCAAACAGACTTGGAGTCTATCAGGGCGGTTCACTAAGCTGTTTGCTCTACACGCTTTTCTCAAACGACCTGGGCCTGCATGTGCCGGATGATGTTACCATTGTACAATACGCCGATGACGTGCAGATTTTGACGAGTGGCAAGAAGCAGGACATGGACGTGTTAAAGGCTCGCATGGAACAATCTCTTGGAACACTATACCACTGGTTTTGTCAACATAGGATGAAACTTAACGAGGCGAAAACACAAATGATAGTGATGGGAACTCCTGCAATGCTAAGAGGAATGGAGTCTTTCGTGTTGGAATTCAACGGAGCTCAGATCCAGGCGACAAGTGTTGTAAAAAATCTAGGTGTCACATTTGATTCGCATTTAAAATTCACTGAACACATTGGCTCGGTGGCAAAAAGATGCACGGGCATGTTGATGGCACTGAATCACGCGAAACACGCAATACCTAAGAGCGTACTGCCTTGTCTAGTGCAGGCTCTCGTCATTTCTGTCGTGCGCTACTGTATGTCTGTGTATGGTACGTGTAACGGCACGCAGCTCCACCGGATTCAGAAGCTTCTAAACTTCTGTGCTCGTGTGGTCAGCGGAAGGACAAGGCGAGAACATGTCTCGGATGTATTTCAACGCTTAGGGTGGATGGATGCCAAGCAGCTTGTCATGTACCACACTGCCTGTACTGTTCAGTCGACGATTACCACTGGACAACCAGAGGCTCTGCTCAGCACCATCGGGCGTCCATCAAACATGCACCATGACCATGCCACCAGAAATGCTGGTCGAATAACGTTACCACGTATCCGTACAGAAACCGGTAAACGTCGCCTGTGTTACCGCGGTGTGACTATCATCAATGAACTGGGGCTCGATCCCGGTATCACAAATTTTAAAAGACACCTAAAAAGTGTGATCATGTCTCAACCGCCTTGAAACGCTCGTTTTACGCGTCATTGTCTGGATGTCTATATGATAGTCTGTATATGAATGCATGTGATGTGCTTGTCCCTGCTATATCCCTTGTCAATTGACGTGCAATGGTGAAAAGCCACCGTGCTGTGGACTTATTGCTAATAAACGAATCTGAATCTGAATCTGCTGAAGAGTGGAGGGCATCCTTATCTGAAACAAAGGCAGATGATGCCGACCCTGTCGAATATAATCTAATCTTGCCAGGCGATAAAGGCTAGGAGGGCGCAGATACTCGAGAAGCGCGCCATGCGGAAGAGGGGCGCCTGCATGCGAAAGAGGGGCGCCTGTGTGTGGGACGAAAAAGAAACATTTATGGAGACGTCTTTGAAGGCGATAGCCTCCGAACGCCAACACGAACATATGAGGGCTTATAGCGTTGCAGGCTCCATGCGACAAAAAGGGGCGCCTGATGGCCGATATGCGAGAGGAAATTAGTTTGTGTAACATTTATCGGGGGCGGTTTGCCGTTTACAACATATGAATGTTAAGGGAAGTCCGAGATTGGGGCCTGTAAAATTGCACTGTCCGTATGGGCGGTTACACCCCTAGTGCTAGGGCGTATTTTGCGTTTTTTTTTTTACTGGGGAGATGATTATGACCAGGCCAGGAATAGCACTCTGCAAACTTTTATGGGCGCCTGTATAGGGGCGAAACTGATTTTCCAGTGCAGGGACGGCCATCGGCATGGTAAGGGGCGCCCAGCGGGAAGGGGCGCTTCAATATCGTTTGCACCCCTATACTAGAATACCTTCCGCCGCCACTGATGCTGTGAAAATTTCAGACCTAGGTCGTACCTACAGGTCGTCAAGTGACCTTTCCTCAGAAAAAGTTCAAAAGCTTGCTAAAGCTTCACCGACTGAACGATCACTTTGAAACTTTAACCCTATTCCTGGCGGGCTCCGCCGGGACAAGAAACTGGCGGGGGGGGCCGATTCGGCCCCCCCCTGAGATCTCGAGAACGAAGCAAGATAGCGACAAGCGGTAAACGGCATCGGATACGCACGGCCAAGATCTACAATTTTTACTAAGGTCATTTTCAGGTCAGGTCAAAGATGACGTCACAGGGGTCGAAAAAGTC